TTCGATGTTGCCACTTTTTAATTTTGAAAATTTCGATTACAGCTTATTTTTTGACTTCATTTTCATTAATTTTATAATATTTTCCATTTGTCTCATATAATTTGGCAACCTTAATATACCTCATATAAAGAGTGGCAACCCTAATACAATCTTAACTATCAATAACTCCAGAGTAGTACCCTACTTTTTATGAGATTGTGTTAAAAGCAGCTTTAGTCATATTAGAATTTAATTGAAAATTCTTGTTGCAATCATTTTTTTTTTTTAATAATTTTGATTCAAAAACGAATTTGAATTTTTTTTCATGACCTCTCATATATTCAGTTGATTTCGTAAGCAAGATCCTAATTTTACATTTGAGAATTATCTTAAATTTGCACAAATTAATACTAATCTGCCATATTCAAAAATAACATTCTTAATAACTTAATTTATCTCAAAACTCTAATATTGCACGTTTATCATTTTGGTATAGAATGGAAGAGTATTATTAGCCACACACAATATGTCTACATAAATAAATGTGCATAGTGTAACATAAAATTATTCAATATCAAAAAAAAAAAATCAATGAAAAAAATTTTAAATCCATTTTGTGAAAAATTTCACGTATTATTTAGCTAAATTTTAAATTTAGCTTCTCCTGAAAGTATGCAAAATTTTATTTTAAAACAAATATTTTATTGAGCTTTTATTGTAATTTTTTTTAACAGTTTTAAAAGAACTGGTTTACACCGTTACTCAATTATCAATTTTAAATTTTAATTAATTACTAATTATTTTTTTGTATTAAATGTTGTGCATTAAAAAAAAAACAATAAAAAGAACAATAAAAATTTTTATTTTTCTGCACTTGCTTTTAAATTTGTTATTTACTTTGATTATTTATTATTGCGCATGCTTTTGCAGTGCAATAATAATTCAGAGCGATTTTGGGGGTCGTCTTTTATTTACACATGTCCTTTAAAATTTTTAATATTTCAATTTTTTTAAGATGATTTTTTTCAACTTATATGTGATAATATAAATGAGAAATAATATGGTGAAACTAAAAAATCGCATTCCTAAATTTGGAATATTATTTAAGAATAAAAGAAAATTATTATATTAAAAAAACGTATTAAATTTTGAAAAAAAATATTACAATTTTAATTATAAAACTAATAAAATAATTAATTATAAATAAAATATGCAGAACACAATATTTTAAATTAAAATTATAATTTTAAAATTTTTTTTTTTTGTCAATTTATGTGATAAACATGCACGTATTTCTCATTCTATTAAAATTATAATTATAGTGTTTATAAAATTAATAAATTATTTTAATATTATATAGTATAAACATATAACAATAAGATTGATTATTTACTATAAAATTTAAGTGTATAATATAAAATATGTAATTAATGCTTAATATAAAATTAAAATTTTTAATGAAATTTAATAAAATTTCTGTAAAGATATACGTAATAATCTTCGGCTGTAATTAGTATCGGAATTAATGTGAAATTGGATTTTCGCCCATGAACGTGGTAATTTAATTATAATTTTATTAGATCTTCATCATCAATAATAATTTTATTTCGATTATGACCCGGGCGACCCGGTATTAATGAGTTATAATATTATAATATGTACATAACTATAAAACATTATATATCTATGTACAATAATTATTATATTACATTATATTTAATATAATTAATTTAAAATATATTTTATTATTAAATTTATGAAATTAAAGTACCTACTTTTTTATTTTATACCGTGATATATGGAAGTTATTTTAAATTAAGACTGCATTGCATACAATATTATCAAATTTAATTTAAAATTATAATTTAATAAAAATTTTTCCATTGGATAACAACTTGCTTCATTTTAATGGCAAATATTTTGGATATAACAATAAATACTGCAATTAGCATAATTAAATCTTTAACATAAATTTTTAGGTGACTCAATTGATATAATATGACAAAGTGCTAATTCGGCCATAAGTAGTTTTACAAAGGCTTTTGTTATCAGAATAATATTAATGTAATTATTAAAGTTTCAATCATTATTGCGAAAAATTAGAAAAATGAATTTTAAAATTTTTTATGTATAGCTAATTTTTATTTAATTTTTAATTATTTAATAATTTAAATACCCACATTCCTTTCATTTATATAATATGTAATACATTTTAAATTCATATAATAAGTCACGTCTATTACATATGAATATCTTGACTTTCATGTTTTCAATATACATACATACATTCCAACACGTCAAAAACATTTTGAATACATAGTATATACAAATATCTTATAAACCACACCCACAAATAGCTGTCATACAATGAATTTTTTTATAAATTTTTCATAAATTATTTAAGAGCACGTGACTAAAACTATCCTTTTTATAATCACATTACAATACATATGAAATTATAACTGGTATATGAACTGATATAATACTAACATGGGTACATAAATAATATTAAAGCTGTATAAAATGTTTATAAAATATAAGAAAAGAAAAGCTTTCCATTTCTGCAAAATGTAGTATTAAGAATAATAATTTTAACCGTTATATTACAATTTTGTGGTTTTGTAGTTTTTATTTGCGCAACAACATCATCATTCATAACAATAAAAAGATTCTTTTTTTTATTTTCTTTTTGTTATTCTTGTGTTTATACTACTACTAGAATAAATCTGCCGTTATTGCCGCGTTACATAAGTAGTAAGTAAAAATGTAGTTACATTTTTCATATTTTCCATCACGAAATCATGATGCAGAGAAGATCTTTTTCATATATTTACATTAAGAGCCACTTTTACATTGACATTAGGTGCTTTAAAAAATTCTGTACATAATTACAAAGATATAATTTTCTATCATCATCATCATCATTATCATAACAATCATTATCAATTCATAGTCATTATTATATCAACCACATCATCATACATTAGTGTTTAAGAAAAAGAAAAACAAAAAAAAAAAAGCAACAAAACTTAAAATCATTCATTTCCTCTATATTAGGTAAACTTTTGAACAGATACAAGAAAGCATCATTTATGCTTCAGCTTCCGATGCAATCATTTTACTCTATAAATATAAATAAAGTTGGGTCAAACCAATGGTTTGTATTGTAGCACTTTTCCCTTCAACAAGTGAAAATTCTGCTTTTAAATACAGTCTATGCATATCTACCACACTATTAAAATTATTTCCATTCATAAACGAAACTATTTATAGGATTGCATATATTTAGGATGACGCATATATGCAGTCTTTGAAATAAAGCAAAAATTAATATAAAAAGGGGTTAACATAATGCTCGATTTTAAGGGTTAATTGTGTGAGTTAAGAAAAATAATTATATTTTTTAATTTCACGGAATTTACCGTTAGCTTTTTGCGTTATTAAAAATTTGGAAAAGCTTGCGGTTTCGGAAATATAAGGTGTCAAAAATTCAAATTTTACAAATTTCAAGAGGCCATAACTTGAGAGGGGGTGGAGATGGAAAAAAATTTTCTTCTAATGAAATGAACTACTTATTAATATCTAAAAGCTCCTAAAATTTCAAGCTTCTACAGTCTGGGGTCTAGAAGAAAAACGACATCAAAAATTTGGAAAAAAAGGACTTTAAATAACGGTAAATTTGAGCGGCCATTTTGTTTTTCTAAAGTTGAACTATGGTATACCGCGCAAGAGGAAGCAAGCCACTGCCTTTCTGCGTTTGTAAAATTTCAAAGATGCTTATGGTTTCATTGCAACAAATATTTAAAAAAGGCCATTTTTAGGGTTTTGGGGGGGTATAACTTCTAGATGGGGGGAGATAGGTAAAAATTTTGTTCTACGGAAATAAGTTTCTAGTGAAGATCTATGTACGCATTAAATTTCAGCTTTCTATCTTCAAAGCTGTAGAAGTTTTGTAAACAGACACACGGACGGACGGACGGACGGACGGACGGACGGACGGACTGAGTGAAACTAATAAGCACTTTTTTCAAAAATTTTTTTGGAAAAGTGCTAAAAAGAAAAAAATCTAAATAAAATTCTTGAATAAATAAAAAAATAAAATTTTGTTTATATTTCAAAAAATTTATCAAAATAAATAATTTCTAGTGATAAAAGAAATTTAATGAGCACAATAATTAAAAAATAACATAATTTTTGGTGAAAATTTCATAAATAATTGTGGTGAATAAATAAGCTAACAGTTTATTTAGTATTTAACAGTAAATATTATTACAGATAAAATAACAGAACGTGAAGATCGTGTAACATAAAAATCTTAAAAAAATTACTCAAAGTTGCCAATATTAAATGCATTATAGCCATATATGAGTAGTGTAGTGAGTACCTACTCCAATAAAATCATTTGAGTGAGAAAAATATTAAAAAAGAGTAGAAAAATAATTTTTATATAATAAGAAAAATTAGAAATACTCTAATTTTCTTATTATTTTCTTATTTTTTTTCCTGTTAAGTAAAATTTTTTTGAGAAATTCTCAATTTACTTTAATTTTTTCGATCATTTTAATTGAACATTCCAATACAATTGGACGTTTTTTTTTTTATTAGATCGCATTTACAAACAAGTATAAAGAAAAAAAAAAATAAAAATTGTTATTGGAATTTCTTGTTCATAAAATAAACATTGAAGCTCTTAGAGAGCAAACGGAATATATAAAAAAATAAGTGTAAATTATATAAAAAAAAAAGAAAAATAATTAAAATAGAATAAAATAAGAAAAGTTTCTTTTTTTTTCTCCAATAAAAAATCGCGACGTGGACAAATCTTATTTTATTATTTTAATAATATTAGAAAAAGATAGTAGCAAAATCTCAAGAATAAAAAAGGTAGTGTCAAAGTTTACTTTTAAAATTAAATATATATACATATATATAATATATAAATATCTAACATAGTGTATATAACAATAATAATAATATAAAAAAATTTTGACGGTATAATTAAGACCACGCAGATAAGAGAATTTGACAGCGAACGGCGAAAAAAAAAAATTAATGTAGAAAGAAAACAAAAAACGTGGAATTTATAAAATATTAAAAAAAAAGTACAAGTTTTTGTTGAAAAATTATTATTTAATATTAAAAAATAATTTAAGCATTTTAGTAAAAAAAAATACAAAGGTAATTGTCTACTTTTAAATTACCTGTAAAGTGAAATTTATCTTGAAATGTGAGAGACGAGGAAATATTTATGAAATTACAAGTTTCTAAAATTTTATTAATATTTTTTTTTTAATAAATTTGCTAAAAAAAAATAATGCCCGCCTAGTGCCGGGTCAACTATATAAGTACATAGATATCTAGTTCATTATTCTAATGAAAATATAATGTGATGACGTCATTAATATTAATGTCAAGAAAAAAAAATGTTTAGTTTATGTGGTGGATTTGATTATGTGGTAGAATGTATGAGGCTTTTAACATTTTGTATATAAAAATGATTAGTAAAAATATTTGAGAATTAATCGATGGTGAAGTGCAAAAATATGCTAAGTAATAAAATTTTTAAAATGCGTTTTTTTTTATGCCACATCTCATTTCGAAAGGTACCCTCTTTAGAACATAGATTTTAGTGACATAGGTGTATTAGTTTGCGAGATCAATGTGACTGAAATAGGTTAAGTGCAAAGTCGAAAGGCGAAGTAGTTTTTTTGAATATTCCTATTACAAAAGCTGGAATAGTGACGAAACATAAATGTGCTATAATTACATCAGTTGTCTATTACCGATCATTAACACTATTTGACATTTTATGCTAATCAAAAGCTAATTTAAGTAGTTTAAACTAACAAAGGATAATAATTAAATTATATAGTGTTATTCTAATTAATTGGCTTCTTTTCGAAAATTTGGAAAACTTTCAAAATGCCCTGTAAAATTTTAAATTTGCTATTTACGATATCTTTCCGCTTCACCATCGAAATTCAAATATTATTAGAAAATATACATATTCGGTATAAGAAAAGATATTATGATATCTAACAATGAAATTATTTATTTATTAATTGTCATTTCATTAAAATATAAATAAACACAATGTATAATATTAGTTTTATTTAAAAAAAATTATTGCAATGTTAAATGTTATAAATATTAATTTGAACTTAAATGCTTCCAAATGTCAAGAATATTATTTTGATTAATATTCAATATAATGAGAATGTTATTTTTAATCAGTCAAAGTCAATGTTATCTTTTATAATATTTTCTCTGCTACATTAAAAAGAAAACGTACGATACGATACGCATACGAATTACGAATATACGATACGATTGTTCTATTTTTAGAGAGAAAATAATAATTAATAAAATTACATTGCTTTTTTTCTCTTAGCTTCAACAAAATAAACACATGATACATGATTAACAGATTTGAGAAGAGCTACAAAATACAAATATACAAAATTACAGTAAATAAAAAAAGAAAAGAGTTGAGTCGAGTAGAGAGAGTTTTTTTTAAACATATTTTGAGAATATTAATTTTTTATGCTCTAACGCTCTAGTAAATTTAAATGAGTTCTATTTAATTTTCGTGATATGATCATTTTCATTTTATATCGAAATTAATTTTTTTAATATTATCGTAGTTCAGGTGTAAATTAAATAATTATACATACAATATACATATGTATATTTATTTTTTGGTAAAAATTTGACTAAAAATGAATGCAACACGATTTTTTTTTTTAATTTTTTTTTTCACAACAGATCTAGGTTATGTTTGAGAAGAAGTTATTGACATTTCTTAAGTTTTTATGTATGGAAAGTGTGTTTCCATGTATAATAACCTAAAGATATAATTATATTTGAGTGAATTTTAATTTAAGTTTTGTTTCGATTCAATTTTGAATTTCACTCGTTTTGCTTATATTTTTCATTAGCTCATTACAATAGTGTTATTGACAAGAGTAAAGAGGATTACGGTTATTTGAGTAGAATTGCTAATGATAGTGTAAAAAGTAAAGTAAAACATGACTAAATACCGTATTTAAGCAGTATATTTAGTTATGTACCTATGTATAAAGTAAAGTATGTATGTACTCATGTTTTTGCTCATAAAATATACGTGTACCTATAGTCTTTTTAATTCTGGTATGTGATCTAAATAAATAAAGATTAAATAAATAGAAAAAAGATACTGTTACCAACTTAAAAAAAAATTAAACAGAGTAAACAAATATAAAATTTTCATTTTTAAAATTCAAATTCAAATATGTTTGTTTTATTAATACTAAGCAAACATAATATTATCTACACACATATATATTGGTATTAGCTGTATTAAAACGAGAGATAAAATAACAAACGTGGCTCAAACAGTTTTAACGTTTTAAGTAAATTATGAGGTGACAGGCAATTCAATTGATATTATGAATTATTTTACGATCATTTTTTGCTTTCAATGACTACAATGATTCTCAACTAGTATTGACATAATAACGTAAATTAACAATATTCTCTGTACCATTAAATTATATGAGAACAAATAAAAAAATTGCATTAAATGCACTTTCATAAAAAATTTTTTTAATATTAACTATCATAATATTTGCTATAAGTAGTAATCAATTATTTTTGATAAAGTTTAAAAGGTGGTTGAGAAAGTTTGATTAATAAATTTGATCCCGCTGACATTGTAATTTTTCAAGTAACAATATAACAGTAATTATTTAGAATAGAATTAAATTTCAATTACACATTATGTTTAATAATAAAAAATTTTTAGGTCACTGGGTTAGAATATTAATTTACATTGAAAATGCAATGTTGACAGTATTAAGAACTTAATACGAACTCGTTCTTAATACAGAACAATAAAAAATTGAGCAATAAGTACTCATACATTTTTTATATGCATTTAACAATTTATAATTATTGATCCAACTAATCAATTTTAAGCAATTTTATACTTATTTGTAAAGTAGATTAAACATTTCGTTATCTTATCGTAATTCGGTTTTCAAATATTTAAAGTTACGATCAAATTTTATCAATTTTTAATTCATCTTGTTGAAGTTATTCAATCAAAATAAATAAATTAAATTTGATCGACAGTTAATAAGTTTTGCAAAAATAAAAATTAATAAATTATAAGATCTTTAATAAAATTTTCGGCTCCTTTGAATACTTAAGCTCAGAGAGATAAAGAGAGATATTAGATAGAAACAGATTTACTTAATAGCACAGAATTTATAAAACTATTGGTGAAATTCTCCTAAATTGCAAAGTAATAACCAGTTAAACGATAATTAATTCGTCATTTGTGTTTGAAGCGTTTTCACATTATATACGTCTGATGACAAATTAATTATCAAGTATAACTTTGCCGCAATATTCTTGAAAATTATTAAATCCAAATACTTCCTCAAATAATCGTCTTAAAAACAAAAATCAACATAAAATTAATATTAAAATAAACATTCCTACAACAATGACGTCTCCCCATTTTTAAAAAAAGAAATTTTTTCTCACTTTAAATGTCAAAAAAAACAAGAAATAACAAAAGATAACCAAAATCTCGTCGCAAATTCTTTATAAATTTGAATTTTTTTTTTCTTAGTTTATTGAACTTTTACTTTGCTTATTTTTTTAATTTACATTTTTTACCTAAGTATAAAAATTTTTCAAAAATAACTGGTCTACTATTAAATAAACCAAAAAAAGAATTAAGAAAAAAAAACAAGTCAGGTAAGAGCAGACAATGAAATCTTCGACAACAAATTTAACAAGTTTATTTTTACTGCTTTTTGTTTTGTGAAACGCAAAACTTTTCATATGTAAAGTTCAACTACACGCTGTACACACCATAGTCACTACCACCATTAACAGCACATCAATTACAGGAAAAACAAAATTGAGAGCAACAATTAAGATTGAAGTTAGACTCGCTTTTTGTTGCAATTATTATTTTTTTTAAGCTCTCAATGACGAAATTTTCATGTTTTTAGAATTTTATAATTTTTTTTTTGTTATTTTCAAGTGTTTCAAACTTTTATTGTTCGTCTTTTTTTTTTATCTAGTGTTAATTTTGCATTCGATAATATTTAATTGCTTTGTGCTAAAGAATGGTTGTTAATTTTATAAAATGCAAATAAAACTATAGTCAAGGCAATTTTTCATATTATACTAAATAAATATTATATACAAATAGTTTCTATAATGAAAAATTATCGCGAACAAAACAAAAAAACACAAAAGGTAAAATAATTAAATTTTATTTTGTAAGCATCATGCATGGTTAAACGCCATACTATAGCAAAACATGGGAGAACGAATCTAATAATAGAATGAAATTGTGATAAAAAAATGCTTACGGTTTAAAATAGCATTAGTCAATGTTAGTTTAACGGTATACCTATGGTATACGCACCTGTATGTACTTCTTTGCTATGTGGGGAGATTTTATTAACGTGTTTTTCATTCCTACACTTAAGATTAATTGCATATTTCAACTTATTGAGTTGTTATTGTATTCATAGGAATAAGTTACAGAAAATGAAATAATTCGGCTAACATTGTGTAGCTTGAAATGAAACCATCTAAGTTCCCAACTACTTTCAAATTTTTGTTTCAATGAAATTTCGAAAATCTTCCTGTAATAAAACCAATAAAATGTCCAAGTACATTGGGGGTTTGTGAATGGATTACTCCTACGGAATTAGTCTCCTCTCAAAAAACTTGTTTTTGCAAAGCCTCTTCATGATCGACAGGATGATGATTGTAAGTTCTATAGTACATTCCAAGGCGTTTTGGTATCGCCAACTAGTCGATAGTTGGGCTTTGTTTCGAACTAATTTGCAATGGTAGATATAACATGGTATTGCTGATTGCCGAAAAATATACGTTTCTTGAAATTGTCTTAAAAACAGAAAAAAAAATAATTTTATTAAAAATGAAGATTTTAATATTTAATACTACTCTGGACAACTTAAGTTTACCATTATTGATCTTGGATCAATAATAATGTTAATAACTTCTTCACTCTAATTTATTTTTTTGGTTTACTTCTCTGTAAATTGAATTTTTTATAACAAATGAAATATGTCGTAACTAAAACTAAATGTACAAACTAAGTAAAACAAAAAACACTTAGAAAATTTCGTTAACATTTTCATTACGAT